AAATAAGTGACCATGGGCCCCAAGAAAGCTTCTAGTGCCAACCCTACAGCAATACCGTGAGAAAATTAACTTATAGAGAAGAAGAAAAAGATCATTGTAAGTATGAAAGTGGAGTGCGGTCTCCTTCCTCCGGCTGGCCAGTTGTATAAGTAAACCCACAATCAACCTTCGCTACAATTGGTGGTACAAGCTTCTGCCTGCTGCTGTACCACCGTCAGCTGCTTCTTGCTGCTGTAGTACCATCAACTCTGCTGCGGGGCTTTAGCATCGTCGGCATGCAGCTGTAGCACTGTCAGCTGCTGCTGCTGTTGTACCACCGTCAGCTGCTGCTGCTGCTGCTGTTTGTAGTACCATCTGCGCTGCTGTAATAACCGTCGCTGCTTTGCTGTAAGCATCGCTGCTGCTGCTGTAGCTACACAGTCAGCTGCTGCTGCTGCTGTACCACACCGTCAGCTGCAGCTGCTGCTGTAGTACCGTCTCTGCTGGCTGTACATCGTCTGCTGCTGCTGTAGCATCGTCTGCTGCTGCTGTAGCATCGTCTGCAAGCTGCTGTAGCATCGTCTGCTGCTGCTGAAGCACTGTCAGCTGCCTGCTGCTGCTGCTGTATCACTGTTGTTGGTGTGGCTTATTGAGAAAAACCAAGAAACAATTAACCCCAGAGGATTTTGCCACAGGATAACCCAAAAAAGTCAGTGTCCATCGAAGACCGTCTAACTTATTTCCATTGGGTCCCTTAATCTTGTCTCCCAGGATGCAACCCACACCAGTCTACTAACACCCAGGTGAACAGGGAAAAATGCTGGAACTAGTGCTCATATTGGTGAATTTAAAGCCAGCAAAGGTTGGTTTGAGAGATTTAAGAATCGTAGTGGCATACACAGTGTGATAAGGCCTGTTCTGGAAGAAAATGCCAAACAGGACCTACAGTACTCAGGAGGAAAAGGCACTCCCAGGACACAGTGTCTCATCAGTCATTGCTGCATCTTCAATAAAGGTAAGTGTCATTTATTCTTCATTTAGTAGAGTAGTACATGCACAATATATATTGTGCATGTACTACTCTACTATTGTGCATGTATCCTTCTCTGTGTGTGTAGAAAAATGTATATTTCATGTGGTAAAAATTTTTTTTTCATACTTTTGGGTGTCTTGCACGGATTACTTTCATTTCCATTATTTCTTATGGGGAAAATTCATTCGCATACCAATCATTTCGCATAACAATGAGCCCTCTTGCACGGATTAAAGTCGCTATGCGGGGGTCCACTGTATGTGTATATAAAATATAGAAAAATAGTAATAAACAACATTTCATATCGTTTGTTTGTGTAAATATTTTCTATAAACAAAATAATGACAACAGTGTTTACGCCCTTATTGTGTAGTATTGAAAAAGAAATAACTTACAAAATAGTGATCATGTTGGCCTCAGAGGCCATAAAAGTTACTTAGAAAAAGGAAAATTGAAAAATAATTGAAAATAGTACATAAAAAAGTAAATAGAAAAATACCGAGTGACGGCAGTCGGCGATGTTACCAGATGTTGTTCAATTTTGGCAAACTTCACACCTCCATATCTCGGTAAGTATTGATGGTAAAAATTTTTTGTTTAGCCTATAGTAATGTTTAGAGAAAAAACTATTTTTTCATAAGAAAAAATAATTTTTTTTTTTTTTTTAAATTTGGCCGACCCTGAGAACGAGTTTCGGAGAGGGCCTGTCGACCCTCAAATGGTTAAATTTGGCCGATCCTGAGAACGAGTCTCGGAGAGGGCCTGTAGACCCTTGTCTCACAAAATAACTCTCCACAGTCCTCTGTTTCTGGCACCTCTCTAACATTTCCCTAAAATGGGACATGGTTCTGTCACTGAACTTGTTGCAAAGATGGCTTGTTTCAGCTTGCTCAGGGTGGTACTTCTGCACAAACATTTGGACATCATTCCACTTGGCACAAATCTCCTTAATCTTTGAAGAAGGCACCTCATCCACTCCCTATATTAACACCTTTTGCAACATCAGCTTCCTTGATTTGTTCTTTCTTTGACAGGATAGAACCGGTGGTCGACTTTTTTTTCCCATACATCCTGGCAAGCTCAACAAGTCTCACACCAGTCTCATACTTCTGTATTATTTCCTTCTTCACATCTATGGTGTTTCTCACTTTCTTTACCACAGGGGTACCACTAGCAAGTTTCTTTGGGCCCATGGCAGCTTATTTCACAGTCCCACAAGCACTAAACACAACGAAATAATCGTAAAATGCGTGAATGAGAGCACAGGTTAGTGTTCACTCTAGCATAAATAAAGCTAGACTGCTCACGGCGCCTGCGCGGGGACGCGGACAGAGCGGGCCGGCAGACAGGTCCCGTACCCGGTGGTCCGAAAATAGGGGCGCGTTCGATAATAGGGACACAGTTTGTCCAAAAAAATGGTCCTGTTTTCGAAACGTTCGATATGTGATACGTTGATTTTTGAGGTTCCACTGTATATATATATATATATATATATATATATATATATATATATATATATATATTATATATATAATATATATATATATATATATATATATATATATATATATATATATACATATATATACACCCACACACCAGTTGCCTGTAATATCAAATGAGATACAAATGTATAAACTACACATGTGTGTAACATTTGTAAACTTTTTTCTGCAATAGGACACTTCTGTCATCAGGAGTGTTTTCATTCATTGGAGTGATAAGAGCTCTTGGTGAGCGATATTTATCCTAATAAAAGTTTCCACGTGCAGTTTTGGAAACATTAGGTATAGGCCTAAATCAGAATTTTTAACTAAAAAAACTAAGGCTGACATAGGATACCTGTATGTATGGCACAATTAAGGTGGAGGGAAGGAAGGGTGGGGGTTGTTCTAGGAAAGATTAGTGGGAGGGGCTTGGACATCCAGCAGGCTAGTGTGAGCATGTTAGGAGTGATTAGAGTCTTGTGGTATTTATGATGGGACATGCTCTCTGGATGTAAGCAAGGTAACATATGTGAAGGGATTCAAGGAAAGCAGTTATCTAGACTTGAACCCTGGAGGCAGGCAGTACAGTGTCTTCACTCTGAAAAAGGGGTGGGGTTGTTGCAGTTTGGAGTTGTCTGAACTGTGATGTCAGTACGTCTGGCAAGGCAGTGATTGAACAAATGATAGTGAAAGTGTTGTCTTCTTTTTCCGGGTCACCCTTTCTTCATGGGAGATGGCTGGCATGTTAAAAAAAATTGTCCTATACATGTATATATAAAGGATTTCCAACTTACAAATGAGTTGCATGCCCCGGTGTTTCAGCTTACAAACAAATCATATGTAGTCCTAAACCTTTTGTTCTATAGAGAACAATAGTTTAGAGGGTAATTATGTATCACATTTGTTTGTAACTGTAGATCATTAATATGGCAAGTATTTTGTCACCATTATGCTATTTTTGGATCTTGTTTGTAAATTTGCATTATCATAAATCTGGAGTTCATAAATCAGGGACCCACCTGTACCATGCTGATTAGTTCATTTTTTTCCACTGAATTAAATAGATCATGACCGGACTTGAGTGCTGGAGGTGGGAAGTTCAGTGCCTGCACTCTGAAGGACAGGTGGGGATATTTGCAGTTTGATGAGTCATCTTAACTGTAGTATCAGTACACCTCTGGCAAGACAGTGATGGTGTGAATGATGGTTAAAGCATTTTTTTGGGGGGGGGTCACCCTATTTTGGTGGGAGACAGCCAGTGTGTTAAAAATTGAAATGACTGTTTCAAGAAGTTGAGTACATAAAGGGATTTTTAGAAAAACATTATTTAATATTTGATAGATTTAAACCCTTTCAGGGTCAGCAGGCCCTCTCCTAAACTTGTTCTCAGGGTTGAAAATTTTTCGGAAAAAAAAATATTTTTCCTTATGAAATGATAGAGAATCTTTTCCCGATAATAATGACACCAAAAGTATGAAATTTGATGGAAAACTTATGGAATTATGCTCTCGCGAAGTTAGCGGTCTCAACAATGTTTACGCATTGGCGATTTCGCCCAATTTGAGCCCTATTTTCGGCCAATTCCAGTGTACTAGTCGACAAAAATCATAACTATTTAGCTAGAACTCCATTTTTTCTATCGAATGAGTACAAGAAACCACCCATTTACCGATTTCAACTATCCAATAAAGTGGTCAGAAATTGGCAATTTTGCCAATTTCACAAATTTCAAAAGATGCCAATTTCCAAATAGGGTCCAGAACAAACAAGACAGACATTTCTGGCACTACAATAATATTTTCTCTGTTCATTAGTCACGTCCCCAGACCCCTCTTACATCTCTTTTGCTTTCTACTTTGAATTTTTATTCTCGCAAAAAATAGAAGATTTATTGTTATGCAGACTACTGTATTAGTATAGAAATGGTGTAGAAATGGTATAAATAATATCAGTGCACTTGTGAAAGAATATTAGAGTCACCAGTTGACGTGTATTGGACGCGTGGCATGATTTGTTTACTTTTGAACTTTGGCAAAAATCGAACATTTCTGCAATTTTGAGCTCAATTTCAAGGTACTTTTCATTATGAAACCAATCAGAATCATCTCAGTTTCTGTAATATGTCTTCCATTCTTTAAAATGAGACCAGGAAAACTAGAATACAACCAAAAATACCATACGAAAATACACTGCAAAGTCGCTGTTTTAAACCAAAAACACAATCGGAGTATTTTTTTCTCATGCACTGTGTGCTGCAGGATTTTTTTTATACTGTGCACACTGACCACATAGACCCATTCTTTCATATGTAGGCCTACCAGCTTTCTCACGCTAGATTTGAAGGCACTAGAATTTACACGTACTAGTACGTCAATAACCCTGGCGTATAAGTTTTACTAGTACGTCAGAAGCCCTGAAAGGGTTAAGAATTGCTTCCAAAGAAACTTTCATCTTTAAATTTAAGTTGCATCATAAGAGTAACCAGATTTTTTTACTTTCAGGAAAAACTAGCATCATCTCGCTTATTTCTGAACTCGCCTGTAAAATCCATAAACTGGGGTGGCGGTGTTAGTAAAGCCTCAGCTTCTGGTTGTAAGGTGATGCTCACATCTGACAAGGTTATTCACGCAAACCATGTTATCTTCACACCTTCCCTCAGTGTTCTCAAGGCTCTTGCTAAGGACATGTTCACTCCCTCCTTGCCTCTACAAAAATTAAAGGCTATTGAAGTAAGTTTTACATGCATACATTGAAGAATTATTTAATATTTTATTATTATACTGTACAGGCAGGCTTCACTTTACAGCACTTTGCTTTACAGCATTTTGCTAATGTAGCAGTTTTCAATTATACCCAGTCTTCATATATTCAAACTTCCTACAATAAATATATTCACCATTCGCTGTAAGCTAAAAACAAAAATATATTAACGTAAGTGATGTGTATACTGTATATTCCTTTTTTGAGGCCCAGCTCTATTGCTCACTTTATACAGGTCTCCCTCAACATTCGCAAGGGTTAGGGGATCAAGAGCCTCGCAAATGTTGAAAAACTGTGAATGTTTGGTGCCCCAATATATTGTAGGGAAATATATTACAATACTGCTTCCTTAACTTGTTGAACCATGAATAATCATAAAATACATGAAAACGTCATAAATTGTACTAAATATATACATGTTATGCTTTAGTAACGTATGTTATTTAATAACATGTATGTTAATAACATGTATGTTATTAAATACCACAGACTCCACCACTGCCTCCACCAATGCCTCCACCATTGCGAGTCCCTACTACCCTCCCTCCGACCCCCGCAACTGGCAGCCAGCCCTCCCACCACTCAGTGTGGTGAGTTTTGTTTGTTCATTATTTGCTATTAAACTACAGAATAAATAATGTAAACTCATTCATGACTGCATATTGGAATGGCTATTCGGACAGGTATTAGACGGTGACATCATGTGTTTACTCTTGAACACAGCAAAGAATCGAACATTTCTGCTAATGCTAATAATAACAATAGTAATAATAATAATAATAATAATAATAATAATAATAATAAATACGATATAATTGAAGAAGGAAATTGTACAAAAATACGAGGGAGTGGTTGACACATCGTCAGTGTGACTTCGTTTATGCTGGAGTGAACATTAGTCTCCCTGCTCTTCCAAACATTTCACAATAATTAATTGTGTTTGGTGCTTGTAGATTGAGTGTGACTGGAGTGGTAGAGGCAGTGATTGAGGCAATGGTATTTAATAACATACATGTTAATAATAATACATGTTATTAATAATATGTACTATTATTATTTATAACATATATGTTATTAAATACATACATGTTAATAATAATACATGTTATTAATAATAACATGTACTATTATTATTTATAACACATATGTTATTAAATACCACTGCCTCAACCGCTGAATTATTGTGAAATGTTTGGAAGAGCAGGGAGACTAATGCTCACTCCAGCATAAACAAAGTCACACTGACGATGTGTCAACCACTCCCTCGTATTTTTGTACAATTTCCTTCTTCAATTATATCATATTTATTATTATTATTATTATTATTATTATTTATGTTATTATTATTATTATTATTACTACTATTCTTATTAGCTGTAGCAGAAATGTTTAATTCTTTGCAGTGTTCAAGAGTAAACACATGATGTCACCGTCTAATACCTGTCCTAATAGCCATTCCAGTATGCAGTCATGAATGGGTTTACATTATTTATTCTGTAACTTAATAGCAAATAATGAACAAACAAAACACTCACCACACTGAGTGGTGGGAGGGCTGGCTGCCAGTTGCGGGGGTCGGAGGGAGGGTAGTAGGGACTCGCACGTGGCGGGAAACTTAAATATGATTTGGAGCTGGGAATTTGGTGGCTGGGAATTTGGCGGCTGGGAATTTGGCGGTTGGGAATTTGCAAATGTGCGAAGCCCGTGAAAGTTGAAAACGTGAATGTTGAGGGAGATCTGTATATGATAGTGTAAACATGAATATCATCACTGTAATGTTTCACTTTAAAGCAGTAGCCTAGAATCTAACCTGCTGTATAAGCAAGACTCTCCTGTATGTGTTTTGCTGGTTAGATGGAGGTTGGAAGTACAGCGCCTGCACTCTTAGGAAAGGGTTTGGAATATTTGATGTTTAGAGGAATACCTAAAGTCATAACTACGCACCTCTGACAGGACAGTGATAGTGTGAATGATGGTGCAAATATTTCTTTTTTGGGTCACCTGCCTTGGTGGGACATGGCCAGAATGTTAAAAACATGTTTATTATTCTGAATGCATAGATTATTCACAGAAATGTTTCTGGAAGTTTAACAGTGAGTGACAAGAAATATTCTTTTTTCTTTGATCAGTTATGTAATTCCTTGTGCCATCACTTCTTTTGTTTTCCATCATTCATTCAGAGACTCCAAGATTTCTACAGTATATCATTGTGGTCTCTCACTCAATTTAAGGTTTCAATGTATTTTACTATATTTGTGGCATTGAGTATTCAGAGGCCTCGGTTTGTTTATTTCTTCAGTTTTAATTTATTTTTCTTAAATATTATACTTGTTAACATTGCTTTGTTATTGAGAAACTTCCTTGTGTGTACATTCGAGGTGTTCCTCCTCCTCCATCCCTCAACACAGCACCTGCCCTTCCTTCCTCAACACAGCACCTGCCCTTCCTTCCTCAACACAGCACCTGCCCTTCCTCCATCCCTCAACACAGCACCTGCCCTTCCTCCTTCCCTCAACACAGCACCTGCCCTTCCTCCTTCCCTCAACACAGCACCTGCCCTTCCTCACTCCCTCAACACAGCACCTGCCCTTCCTCCCTCCCTCAACACAGCACCTGCCCTTCCTCCCTCCTTCAACACAGCACCTGCCCTTCCTCCTTCCCTCAACACAGCACCTGCCCTTCCTCCTTCTCTCAACACAGCACCTGCCCTTCCTCCTTCCCTCAACACAGCACCTGCCCTTCCTCTCTCAACACAGCACCTGCCCTTCCTCCTTCCCTCAACACAGCACCTGCCCTTCCTCCCTCCCTCAACACAGCACCTGCCCTTCCACCCTCAACACAGCACCTGCCCTTCCTCCTTCCCTCAACACAGCACCTGCACTTCCTCCTATCCTCAACACAGCACCTGCCCTTCCTCCCTCAACACAGCACCTGCCTTTCCTCCCTCCCTCAACACAGCACCTGCCCTTCCTCCCTCCCTCAACACAGCACCTGCCCTTCTTCCTTCCCTCATCACAGCACCTGCCCTTCCTTCCTCAACACAGCACCTGCCCTTCCTCCCTCCCTCAACACAGAGCACCTGCCCTTCCTCCCTCCCTCAACACAGAGCACCTGCCCTTCCTCCCTCCCTCAACACAGCACCTGCCCTTCCTCCTTCCCTCAACACAGCACCTGCCCTTCCTCCTTCCCTCAACACAGCACCTGCCCTTCCTCCTTCCCTCAACACAGCACCTGCCCTTCCTCCCTCCCTCAACACAGCACCTGCCCTTCCTCCCTCCCTCAACACAGCACCTGCCCTTCCTCCCTCCCTCAACACAGCACCTGCCCTTCCTCCCTCCCTCAACACAGCACCTGCCCTTCCTCCTTCCCTCAACACAGCACCTGCCCTTCCTCCTTCCCTCAACACAGCACCTGCCCTTCCTCCCTCCCTCAACACAGCACCTGCCCTTCCTCCCTCCCTCAACACAGCACCTGCCCTTCCTCCCTCCTTCAACACAGCACCTGCCCTTCCTCCTTCCCTCAACACAGCACCTGCACTTCCTCCCTCCCTCAACACAGCACCTGCCCTTCCTCCTTCCCTCAACACAACACCTGCCCTTCCTTCCTCAACACAGCACCTGCCCTTCCTCCCTCCCTCAACACAGCACCTGCCCTTCCTCCCTCCCTCAACACAGCACCTGCCCTTCCTCCTTCCCTCAACACAGCACCTGCCCTTCCTCCTTCCCTCAACACAACACCTGCCCTTCCTTCCTCAACACAGCACCTGCCCTTCCTCCCTCCCTCAACACAGCACCTGCCCTTCCTCCCTCCCTCAACACAGCACCTGCCCTTCCTCCTTCCCTCAACACAGCACCTGCCCTTCCTCCTTCCCTCAACACAGCACCTGCCCTTCCTCCTTCCCTCAACACAACACCTGCCCTTCCTTCCTCAACACAGCACCTGCCCTTCCTCCCTCCCTCAACACAGCACCTGCCCTTCCTCCCTCCCTCAACACAGCACCTGCCCTTCCTCCTTCCCTCAACACAGCACCTGCCCTTCCTCCTTCCCTCAACACAGCACCTGCCCTTCCTCCTTCCCTCAACACAGCACCTGCCCTTCCTCCCTCCCTCAACACAGCACCTGCCCTTCCTCCTTCCCTCAACACAGCACCTGCCCTTGCTCCTTCCCTCAACACAGCACCTGCCCTTCCTCCCTCCCTCAACACAGCACCTGCCCTTCTTCCTTCCCTCAACACAGCACCTGCCCTTCCTTCCTCAACACAGCACTTGCCCTTCCTCCCTCCCTCAACACAGCACCTGCCCTTCCTCCCTCCCTCGACACAGCACCTGCCCTTCCTCCTTCCCTCAACACAGCACCTGCCCTTCCTCCCTCCCTCAACACAGCACCTTCCCTTCCTCCTTCCCTCAACACAGCACCTGCCCTTCCTCCTTCCCTCAACACAGCACCTGCCCTTCTTCCTTCCCTCAACACAGCACCTGCCCTTCCTCCTTCCCTCAACACAGCACCTGCCCTTCCTCCCTCCCTCAACACAGCACCTGCCCTTCCTCCTTCCCTCAACACAGCACCTGCCCTTCCTCCTTCCCTCAACACAGCACCTGCCCTTCCTCCCTCCCTCAACACAGCACCTGCCCTTCCTCCTTCCCTCAACACAGCACCTGCCCTTCCTCCTTCCCTCAACACAGCACCTGCCCTTCCTCCCTCCTTCAACACAGCACCTGCCCTTCCTCCTTCCCTCAACACAGCACCTGCACTTCCTCCTTTCCTCAACACAGCACCTGTCCTTCCTTCCTCCCTCAACACAGCACCTGCCATCATGTCATTCACATATACCAGAAATAGCACTGGTCCTAGGATCGACTCCTATGGGACCCCGGTCGTCACAGGTGCCCACTGTGATACCTCATCATGGACCATGACTCGCTGTTGTCTCCCTGTTAGGTGTTCTCTGATCCATTGCAGGGCCCTTCCT